TTGGTAAGGAAACTGAGACACAAATATGTTAAAGGACTTACAACTGAAGCAGTGATTACTTCAAGTGGAGCTGAGACTCCTGACTTCAGTCCCCTGCTGTTTCTGGAGCATTGTACTGGTCTTCAGATCTTTATACCATGAATAAGGTTTATTCCTGGAAATAGAGAAGTGATTGTAATTACACAGAACTAGATGTGGGGGGAAAACAACATTATGTTCTTGGGAACAAAGGGTTAAATCTTCAGTCGTATAAAATGTCCCCCTTTTTTTCTGAGTGGTGGTGAGAAAGGGACATGGTTCATTTTAGAACTCTTGATTTTGGAAATCTATCTAGTTCTAGCTGCTGAATTTTCAACTGCTGAAATGATTAATTTTAGAGATCTCAAATATCAGAAAATTAACTATTAGCTATATACTTAATTTCTCAATATTCTTTAAGAATAAAACAAAAATTCTCCAGCATTACATTTTTCAAAAACTGTAAAATGTATTTAATTTTAATAATTATGATTCTTCAGAGATACAAATAGTTATGAGTTGCAGAGTAAACTTTTACAGTGAGCTATTTTATCTCCTACCCCCCAAACTGACACTTTCTCATTATAAGAGGTGTAATGCTCTACAGTTGACTTGACTATTTCATATTCAAGAAGAGTAAACAGCAGCCAATAGATTCAAGGTAGCTCCAGATGTCACATAAGTGAGTCTGACATTTTCCTCTTAGGTATTTTATTGTATTCATTCTAGTATCTCCTCTATTACCTTGTGTTTGGATATAGGAAAATATTGCTTGGTAGGAAAACACTATTTGTAAATTATAAATGCCTTTGCCTATGAGATGCTTCAAATAGTATTTTTCTTTATTTCAGCCTAAACTGATTTTAATGTTCTTTGCTGCAAAGTCATATTCATTTTAGTGTACAGATATGCCTTGTTTTTATTGTACTTTGCTTTATTGCGCTTAACAGATAGTTCATTTTTTTTTTTTTTTTACAAATTGAAGATTCGTGGCAATTCTGCATCAAACAAGTTTATTGGTGCCATTTTTCCAACAGCAGGTGCTCATTGATAACCAAAACTAGATAAAGACAGTACAAAAAAGAAAAAACCATAGACTAATTTCCATGAACATCAATGTAAATATCCTCAAGAAAACATTAACCAACTAATTCAGCAACATATGAAAAGAGTAACACACCATGACCGTGTGGGGCTTATCCACAGAATGCAAGGCCGTTGTGGTATTTGAAAATAAATCGATGTAATCCACCATACTAACAGTCTAAAGAGAAAAATCACACCATCGTATCAATAGAAATAGAAAAAAAGCCCCAAACACATTTGACAAAATGCAATATCTACTCATGATGAAAGAGCTGGCAAAATACAAATAGAAAGAAACTTCCTCAACCTGTTAAAGGGCAAGTATAAAAATCTTGCAGCTACCATCACACTTCATGGTGAGAGATTGAATGCTTTTAAGGTTAGGAACAAGGCAAGGTATTCACTTTCAACACTCCCATTTAACATTGTGCTGGAGGTGTTAGCCAGTGCAATAAGGCAAGGAAATAAAAGGGATAGGGATTGGGAAGGAAGGCATAAAACTGTCCTCATTCACAGATGACATGATTGTCAATACAGGAAAAAAACAAGGAATCTCCCAAAAAACAAACAAGAAAAATCCTGTAATTAATGTGAATTTAACAAGATCACAGGACATAAGGTCAACATGGAAAAATCAATCACATTTCTATATACTAGTAACGTACAATTGGAAACCAAAATGTGAAAGCCAATACCTTTTATATAATAATAGCACAAAGAAAAATGAAATACTTAGGGGTAAATCTAATAAAACGTGTGTACAGGATCTGTATGCTGAAAACTATAAAATTGCTAAAATGCAATTTATTTGGTATATAAACCATTTTATTCATTCGCTATCAGGATTTCAAATTACATTTGAGGACAGGTTCGCAAGTAGCAAATCATTTTTTCATGCATTTATCTTCATCTATGTTGTATGAAATAGAGGTACCAGTAGACCTTTTAAAATATATGTTGTCTTCAATACATCTATCTAATTCTAAAAACAATTTCAAGTTTTGGTTCTCTTTTTCTAACATAAAGGATGGATCGTATTCATAATGTGATTCATCTCTGTCAATAGTTGCTTAGAAACTGTTGTAGATACGTTACACGACACTTCCCCAGATCCTGCTGTACATGTCAGCTGAGTGATTTTTCTTATTTCCGTTTGGAAGATACAAATGATACACATTTTCTGTAAAGTTTAATTGAATATTGTCTCCTCTTATATCAGCTTTCCATTTCTTTCCGATTTTTAGTTTTGCTCATTTAAGCTTTGTGGTTCATGTATCTTTTCATTGCAAAAAAGTATTTGTTTATGCTACTGGTTTACGTGTGTTCATTATTTAAAGAAAATGGTTTTATAAAGTTATGCCTGAAATTCATATATTTAGTGTTCTGTATCACCAGGAGACTTGATCGTTATAACTTCCTCTTCCTGAGGCCATAACCGACACTAGTTTTGTACTTTAGTGTTCACACGTAAAGACTTCAGAATGCGATCCCCTGCAGATGGTGACTGGGCTAAACACTCGGGCTGGTAGTAAAAAGAAACACGTCATTTCAATTTTAAGAACTAATTGTCTTCATTACAAACCCTGATAAAAAAAGACACACTGCATAAGCCAGTGTGATCCATCAGTCATTCAGGGGTTGTCTAGGCATAGAGAACATAAAGCAGTTTAGAAAGGTTGTTTATTCTACTTAATGCCTCAGTTTAATGACCTAGGCAAAGAAATTTCAAATGTTCCAAAAGCTGATTAAATTTCTAGTTGATACTAAATTAATTAAGATAGTTAATATTCTAGAAAACCAGAATCAAATTCAGAATGATTTGACCATCTAAAACAATTGCCTTTAAAGCAGAGTAAAATTAAAGATGAATTTAGATATTATATTTAGAGACAGAAAAACTATAAAAATATATGAGAAGAGAAATTATCTAGATGGTAGTAATCACGTCTTGCCTTCCTCATCCAGTAGCTAAGACTTTGGAAACACAGAAACAGCCCGGATACTCACAGCTGATAGTGAGAGAATTGCCCTCCTCCTACCCTTCCCTGCCTCTCTGCACAAGGGCTGACAGTCCAGACCCAGTCCCTTCCCTGGTTTATACCCTAGTGGTTTCCTCTCTTTTGACCATATATTCTCAATGTTTATACCCACAATTTCCTGCATTTAATTGATCCGGTAATGTTCACTTTTATTCTTTTATATAATATTTCAAAGAAAACATCTTATTACTATGCCAGTTCATCTCTCCCTTTTCTTTTCAAACCAGACTCCAGTTCCTCGTTTCCAATTATTGCTAATAACAATGGTAAAAGAAAGATTTCCCAGAATCATAACTGACCACAAACTGGATAGCAAATTTATTATTATTGGGGGAAACCAGAAAAGGTCAAAAAAAGCCAACCCCATTCCATTCTGTCATTTTGAAGATGGAATCTTATCTTTATATGTTACATTAAAACAATGATATAACAATGAACCCTTCCTATGTGCCAGGAACTGTTCTAAATGCTATGCATATGCATACTCATTTAATTCTCCCAACAATCTCAAGAGATGGGGACTATGGATAATTCATTTTACAGATGAAGTTCCCGAGAGGTTAAGTCCAGGTGTCCAAGGTGACACTGCTGGTAAAAGGCAGAGCCTGAAGTCTAACCTAGATAGTCTAGCTCTAGATGGAGGCTGGATACCTAACCACTACTCTACACTGCCTTGCCATTAGAACTGACACTTGATATTCATCAAAAGAATTGACAAGGACAAGTTAAAGAGCATTGAGGTAACAATTGAAAAATCTTGAAATGGCTGCCAAATCTTGTCAGGAGGGTTAAAGGAATTTGGATTGTGCAAATTTAGGGATTTCAGAGAGAAGAAAATACAAGGAGTGGCCGGGCGCGATGGCTCACACCTGTAATCCTAGCACTCTGGGAGGCCGAGGCGGGCGGATTGTTTGAGCTCAGGAGTTTGAGACCAGCCTGAGCAAGAGCGAGACCCCGTCTCTACTAAAAATAGAAAGAAATTAATCAGACAACTAAAAATATATTGAAAAAAAAATTAGCCGGGCATGGTGGCGCATGCCTGTAGTCCCAGCTACTCGGGAGGCTGAGGCAGAAGGATCACTTGAGCCCAGGAGTTTGAGGTTGCTGTGAGCTAGGCTGACGCCACAGCACTCACTCTAGCCTGGGCAAAAAGAGTGAGACTCTGTCTCAAAAAAAAAAAAAAAAAAAGAAAAAAAGAAAATACAAGGAGTAAGTTAATTGGGTTTTAAACATATAAAAGATTTTTGGAAGAAATTAATGAGTATTCTGTGTTAATTGAAGATTGACCAAAAGAAATGGCAGTGAAGTCCAGTCAGGAGTACCTCTGCTGTACAAGAGGAGTTATATCTTGCTGTCAGGTCCAAGGAAAGATAACTTGAGAGGTTATGAAGGATAGGGCCCAAGAGATAAGTCTAGGATGGATGACTCTGTTCAAGATCGCTATGATTCAGTTGACTTGTGACTATACTTTGTGCATTTAACTTTGAGCAGATCTGCTCCTTCATACTTATTCTTAATCTACTGTTATCTAAAATGCCAACAGAATTTTAGAACTGAAGACAACTAATTCAACTCGCATAGTTTACTGACAGGAAAACAGAACCAGAAATCAGACGTGTGTTTCATAGGACTATGTAGTAAGGGGCAGAACTGAGTTTTGAACCCAGGTCTCCTGATACCATGTCCAGAGCCTTTTTTTTTGGTGGCAGTAGAATAAGGGAAGGAGGGCTTCACAGTCACAGAAGAGAATATGCTTGAGAATGTCTACATAATGTAATGCGATCGCTAGGGAGCTAAAAGGGAGAAGGCTGTGACTAGGATGCACTGATTTATGAAATGTCCTTTTTCTTTGTGTAGTATGAGCCCAGGGGACCTGGTCGGCCCTTGTACCAAAGAAGAATCTCATCTAGCTCAGTTCAGCCTTGTTCTGAAGAAGTAAGCGCTCCTCAGGAGAGTCTGGCCCAGTGTAAGGAGCTTCAGGACCACAGTAGCCAATCTTCTTTCAACTTCTCATCCCCGGAGTCCTGGGTAAACACCACCTCATCTACTCCCTACCAGAACATTCCGTGCAATGGATCCAGCAGGACAGCTCAACCCAGAGAATTGATAGGTAAGACAGAGTCGTTTGCCCAAACTCTCATTTTAACTCCTCAGTTCCTGGATATTTATGGAATTTTTCTTCTACCATTGCCCCATTTGCATTATTATCTTTGAACAATATTTAATGCTCATAGCTCGTAAGTGTGGCTCAGGCATATTTATTAAGTTAGGACTATACTGATTCCATATTTGTGGTCTGGAAGGTTAGTAGATATATCTGTATTAGGAAATTGATAATTTTGACCTGTGAGTGAATGAAAGAAGAAATGGAACTTAAAATGTATTTCTAAATAGATAGAAATACCTTTGCTTGGGAAAAGTTTGTTTTCTGTTTTTTGGTTTTTTCTTCAGGGAGTTGGTTGGGTCAGTATCATTTTTCAAGGATTTGTTATCAATAATGCGTTGACAATTTGCTATTTAATAGAGTATAGTTATGAGAGAGATCAGAGTTTAACATTTTGGCATTTAGAAATCCTTTGTTTATTCCTTATATTCTAATAAACTGAGAACTCCATGGCTAAAGAACTCAAAAGGCATAGAAAGGGATAGGAATGAACAAGGCACTCTAAACTTGTACTATGTGTTGGAAAGTCTAAAGCCTTGAACAGGAATGCACTTTTATCTTTCCTTTATTCTCTCTCTTTTTTATATTGAATGTGAAGAAATTAATTATATTATTTGAGTTCTCTAATTCCTTCTCTTTGTAGGGTGGACATTGATCTCTGTGAACAAGTCTGAGATGTTTGTGTGGTGAATTTCTGTCGGGCAGCATCAACCTTTGTATTTGAAATTAATTTTGTTCATCTTTAGAATATGAATCTATTGTTTATGTAACTGACCCATTTTTGAGTTTGGGCCATACAAGCATATTTTTAGAACAATAGACATAGTAGGGCAAAAAAACATTTAAAAGATTTTGCTTTTGTTTCCTGGTAAGAGACATTGTCATTTTAACCTTTAAACATTCTTTAGTACCTGCTCTGTGTGTAAGCTACTTTATTTTGCCTGGGGCTGCTTTGTCATTTTTAAGGTCTGACATAAATACACTCAAATTAGTATATTTGAACTTCCTGAGAAACATCTAAGTTATAAATCAATGATGATAATTTGTTACTTTTTTGGTTGTTTTGTTTATTATAATTTCTTTTTAAGATAACATCATTTCTCCTCTTTTTTTCTGTTAACCTAAGTTTTAGGATAGCTTTTGGCCAAAATCAATAAAAATCTGACCTGAGCTGATAAAGTAGAAAGTTCTAGAACAAATGCCCAAAGCTCATGTCATTTGTGGTATCTTTTCTACAAATATAAAATGATTATTTCCTTCATTGCTTGGACAAATGGTAACATTTTTTAGTTGAAAGTAACAGTTAAGTACTAAACAGTTAATTCAGAATCACTAATGTCCTGAAGCACGACTTCTTAGTATTTTTTTTTTTTAGAGAAATGTGGCAGGGGTGCATCAGACAGAGCACCATCATCACATAAGAGACTTCTTACTGAAGTTTGAGATTTATATCTTTAGCTTGAAGAAAACTTTTTATATTAATTATATTGGTTTGAAATTTAAAAGAGATCATTGTGTTTGATATGGATGTGCTTTCTCTACAATTAAATTATAAGCCTGAAAGCAGAGACCGTATCTTTGACCTTTTTGAACTTTGAGTTTCCCATTTTGTTACTGAATACACTTGAGGCTCTTGGAGAATTCTTGCTGAATAAGGAGATAATGAAACTAGATTCTATGCAATCAAGGGAGTGATCCAGTTGCACTGAGATTAGATAGCGATGTGTATTATGTAAAATAGTATTAGTCGTAAGATTAGTAAAATTCATGGCCTTAGAGAATGGTTTCTCTTATTGAGAATACTTATGATAAATCAAATTAATAGAGATCTTACATTTGTGGTTAGATAAGAATGCAGGCATTAGATTAAACTGCCTCTAAAATATTATTTTCTAAGTATTTATTATTTAACTGAAAACATTTTAAACTCTATTATGAAAATGAGAACATGGTTAAATAAATAAAAATAGTAAGTTCTTAAACAACCAAAACCATGTTTGTATTATTTTAGACAGTGTAGGCCACTTTTATATTGAAATATGTCAAAACTGATGTTCTTAAAACCAATCATTTTATTCACAAAATCAGTGACATTTATGGGGAAAAGTGGTAAGTGTTCTAGAAAGATGTTAAATGCTTTAAAATAATTTTGAACAATTTTATGAATTTCTAAAGTTCTAAAATAGTACTATAAAATTAGCACATTGAATAATTGAACTAATAAGACTAAAAAAATGAAATATTTTCACCTTAACCTCTGAATTCTAGTTTTATGTTATATTGAGCAACTGTGTTGTTGATGTTAAAATGCTTTTAAGACTTTGTCATATTGGATGTGACATCGCTTCCGTTAAGTATCACCAGTGTGTTTTAGAGGCAATGAATCATTGTAGTTTGGGTTTCAAAAAGAAATATTAGCAGGATTTCTTATGGTTTCTATTTTTCACTTATTTTAAACTCAAGGATAGAGCAACTTCGCTAAATATCTGAAGATTGAAAGGGGAATGCTGTGTCTGAGTTCCCTCTCTTTGGTGATTATCTTAAGCTATAGCTGGTTGCAAGAATCAGAAACCAACCCAAACTAGCTCAAGTAAAAAGAGTTTCACTGGAAATAAGGTACAGGAAGGCCAGCTGGATTCGTGAGGGGAGCTGTGCAGTTTTCTGGTGTCTGTACATAATCTGTGTAAGGTACACGGCACAAAGTGCCTGGCCCCATAAGCGATGCGCAGCTGCTAGGTGTGATGATCATATAGCATCTCTCTCCGGGGCCCTGTGCCTTCCTCTGTGTACTTGCTCTTTTCTTCTGCTTTTCTTTATAGATTAGTCTTCTGATGGTTCTGTCCATGTATTTTTAAGTGGCTTTGGGTTCCCACAGTACCTTGACTCCACCTAATCTAGCTAAAGGTCTCAATTTCTCTGTTTCTGTCTGTCTGTCTATCTCTCTCTCTCTCTCTCTCTTTGTTATACACAAATTTCTGGGAGAAGGAATATTTGTAATCTTGGTCCAGTTTAGATCAAGTATGGTCCAATGTTGTGAGTGGAACACTTTAAAACATATACACAGGCCGGGCGCGGTGGCTCACGCCTGTAATCCTAGCACTCTGGTAGGCCGAGGCGGGCGGATTGTTTGAGCTCAGGAGTTCGAAACCAGCCTGAGCAAGAGTGAGACCCCGTCTCTACTAAAATTAGAAAGAAATTAATTGGACAACTAAAAATATATAGAAAAAATTAGCCGAGCATGGTGGCGCATGCCTGTAGTCCCAGCTACTCGGGAGGCTGAGGCAGGAGGATTGCTTGAGCCCAGGAGTTTGAGGTTGCTGTGAGCTAGGATGACGCCACGGCACTCTAGCCAGGGCAACACAGTGAGACTCTGTCTCAAAAAAAAAAAAAATATACACAGGGAGGAAAGAAACAATCTTTGACAATGTATGTAGCCCACTAACCATTGGGTCATCAATAATAGTCAGTATTAAATGACATAAAATCAAGTGCTAAAAGTACAGTGTAGACACCGTGCCCTTAAAGATGCTGGAGTGGTTAGGAGAAAGCTTTGTGCAAGGGGGTCTAACTCACCTCTCTAATGTTCTCTCCCTCTGTTGTCTAACACTAACCTCCTGCCTTGTTCAGAGTACACTTCTGAAATGATGCTTCCCGTTCTTGTTTTGGTGTCTTTACCTTTGTAGTTTTTCTACCTATATCAGTTAGGGTAAAGTCTAAGCCACTGTCACAGAGAGATCCCAAAATATAGTGGCTTAAATAAGATAGAATTTATTTTTCTCTCGCCTAATTGTCTGGCTGATCCAGGCTATCTGAGTAGCTTTGCTTCACAAAGTCAAAAGAAATGCACATAATAACTACAAAAAGATAATTATTTACTTATAAGTAGGCTAAAATTTAAAAAATAGTAACACCAGTGTTATGATTAGATAGAGAAACAGGCAAACATTGTTGGCTGAGTATAAATGGGCAGTATCTTCCTGCAGGGCAGTTTGGACATAGTTATCGGAAGCTTTAATTGTGTATATACCATATGACCCAGCCATATACTCCCAGGAGTTTATCCTAAGGAAATAGTCATGAATATTTAGAAATATTTGGCTGGGCATGGTGGCTCACACCTTAATCTCAGCGCTTTATGAGGCCAAGGCAGAAGGACTGCTTGAGGCTAGGAGTTTGAGACCAGTCTGAGCAACATATCAAGACTCTGTCTACACAAAAAATTAAAAAAATTAGCCAGGCATGGTGGTGTGTGTCTGTAATCCCAGCTACTCGGAAGGCTGAGGCAGGAGGATCACTTGAGCCCAGGAGTTCAGAGTTATAGTGATTGGGCCACTATACTCCAGCCTGGTGACAGAGCAAGACTTTGTCTCTTTAAAAAAAAAAAAAAAAAAAGATTTATCATAATTTATAAAAGTGAAAACTTGGCTATAAAGAAAATTTCTAAAAATGAGAGATTACTTAAATTACGTTGTAAAATATTCTGTATTAAGGGAAGTCCTTAGAAAAAAATACACCAACAAGTTAAGGCTTATCTCTAGTATTTGGAAATATAAATTTCTTATTTTTTTCTTTGGACGTTTCTGTAATTCCCAAATTATCCTCAGTGAATATGTATTATGTTTATAATCCAATACAATGTTAAATTTTTAAAAGATTGAGAACTAAAGCAATATTTGAAAACAAGCTATGGAACAAGCTATGGTTTAGAGAGCAATAAAATTGGTGAGGAAGGATGGAGTCAGATTTTAAAGGATCTTGGCAGACGGATTATAGGAAATGGGAAGTAGTTTACAGCTGTTCTCCCAGCACCCACCCTCCCATTCCACGTTACTCAACATATATTACAAAAAAGGGCAGCATTTTAAACAAATGGAAGCTAATGGTACTATTATTTAGGTTAATAGTGAAAGCTCTTTGACCAGGAGCATGGATATACAGCTCACTTTTATTCAAGGAAAAAAATGTGCCTATTTACAAACTATGAACAGTTACTATCATAAATATAGAAGTCTACAATTGTACAAACTAGCTTTTTATTTCTCAGCGAGCCTTCACATCTGAACTCTAGTTTTTATATGTCAGCTATTCCAGTTCACATAGCCGTTTTACGTGTTTATAAGAGAGAGAAGTTTGGTTGGATATGTTATGATCTCATTCTGTGGCAGAAATTGTCTGTCCTTGTAGCGATACTGTCCCTGACTTCCTGGAGATGAGAGTCAGTTATGACACTGAATGAATGAGATGCATGAACATTGCTGGGCTCGCCCTCAAATCAGTGTTGCTCTTCTCTGTTTTTAGCTCCACCCAAGACCGTCAAACCCCCTGAGGATCAGCTGAAGTCGGAAAACCTCGAGGTGTCCAGTTCCTTCAACTACAATGTGCTGCAGCATCTCGGCCAGTTCCCACCCCTCATGCCCAACAAGCAGATCGCGGAGTCGGCCAATAGCAGCAGCCCCCAGATCTCTGGTGGGGGCAAGCCTGCCATGTCCTATGCCAGTGCTCTGAGGGCCCCTCCCAAGCCCAGACCCCCCCCTGAGCAGGCCAAGAAGAGTAGCGACCCTCTGTCTCTGTTCCAGGAACTTAGCCTTGGGAGCTCGTCGGGCAGCAATGGCTTTTACTCCTATTTTAAATAATCACTTTTTTTTCCTCAAGGGAGAATGTTTTAATTTCTGTTTGTATCAGTAGAATTAAGGTAGTTGGACTTCATCTATAGATGCACAGTTCCCTTTGTTTTAATATTAAATATGTTCTCACTTAATTGCTTTGCTGCTAGACTTGCAACTAATTTTTTAAAAGTATATTCCATTATTTTGCATTTTTGATGTGAGTCAGAGTTTTGACAGCTTTTATGTAGAATAAAAAAATATTTTTAAATTTGTGTATTGTTACATATGTTTGCATCAAGCTAGCAGCTAAGAGGTTAATTGTGCAACTATAAAAAAAGAAAAAAAATTGTCTAAAATGTATTTAAAAAGAACAAAAATTGTAAGTAGCATTTACATTTATTCAATAATATTACCATATGCTGGGTTTCTGTACCAGAAATGGCCAGTTGATGTACAAATGTATGTTATTTTTGCTTAAATTCATTTAAAATTTTTTAAAATAAAGGGGCAGCATCTTCTAAATACTTTAAGTTTTATCAGCTTTTTTTTTTGGTGACATGATGCTGCATTCTAAAACTTTTATAGTTTTAGACAATGTATGATGTGCTGTTGTAATCTCCATCCACCGTAGGATAGAGTTAAAGGCATTCTTTGCAGTTGTATTTTGTATGCCACTGTTTTTTGAAATGTGAAAAAGCATTGGCATACTTAGTTATTTTTTGGACAAGCTACACTTCAAGCTTGGTTTTAATGTTAATTTGATAGTGGTTTTTTTTTTTTTTTTTTTTAACAAATCATGAAGCTGAAAAATTTTTAGGATTGTTGGTGCTTAGTAGACTTGATAACTATTTTAAAAATGCGTGAATTTAGTAAAATCCTTTTTTCTCACTATGCATGTGTAAATGTTTGTAACCTGGCTTTCCCCTTCTCCAGTGGTATAAAGAATTGTGCCGCTTTAAGGTTTGGGTTTTTTTTTCCTTCCAGTAAAAATTTTGGTACCTTATTTGATGTTTACATTAAAATGTGACATTATACATGGCAATTCAATTATTTTGCTAGCTGTTTTGTTTGAGGAACATCATTAAAGAAGAAATATGTTTGTCAGAAATGTATCAAAATTCATCAAAATCTGGGGCAGAAAACTACCCTTGTTTTTCATGTCTTTTGATTCTTCTAAAATACCCCTATTGAACTTGTACAAAAATTTAAAATTTAAACATCAATTTTAAATATTTTACAGTCTAAAAATTGTTTCAAATGAACTTTGGTAAAATCCAAAGGAAAATGTTTACCCTCTTAAAACCTGTGGTCTTGTCACACATTCATAGCAATGCATGTCCTTATCATTTTCCTGATCTAGTAGTACTACTTTTATATTTCAGAGATATCTTGAAACTACAATATAAACTTTTTTTTTTAAATAAGATGAGACTGGGGAACATTTCAAATGAACCCAACATTCATGATGATCCATTCAAAAATAGTTTTTTGGAAGACTACTTTTGATAGGCCATCCTATATTCAAAGTACGTTTTAAAAGCTGGGTTGAAAGTGGGAAGAGTAAGGAAAAATTACTTGACATCTCTTATATGATTGGAATTTAGTTTATATTGGCCAGCTGCAACTCCCTTATAATCCTCAGACAATTTGGGATAAAAAGATTGCCTTTGGTTAATGGTTAGCAAGCTACAGGACAGATGAAGTGTGCCTCTCTTACTCAGTTCTACCTTTCTGCTCAGAGTGAGTGCGGTTCATTTGTATGTGGCTTCATATTACGGGCTGTGGGTCTCCGTGTAAGTGGCAGATGTAGACCCGTACACTGCAGACGTGTTAATGGTCAGTATAAATCACAGTTGGAAAACTGAGCCAGCAAGTTACGGCACCATGCTTTCTCTGTGTGATGTCAGATCACCATCTTTAGCCATGTCAAATTTTGCTCAACATACTTTAGTTGGAAGAAAAGAAGAAAAAGTTTTGCCATATAGCTATGCATTTCCAACTCTATGACAAAACTCAAGACATTGCCCAAATGAAGATTAGGTCTCCTTGATGTGAGAATTCTCTGAAAAATACTTTTCTCATCAGTGATGATCCTTGTGTTCCCCCCACCCCCAAGTAAGTAGGACTACAACACAAACTAGATAAATGTTCAGAAGCATTTTGATAATATGAAGATAGAATTATAAAGTCAGGGCTTTCATTTAACCCCTTGTCATGAGGGTAAGGCCTAATTTTCTATTTTCCATACTTGAATCTTTTAAAAATATCGATTTTAAAATTATTTATGTTTAGTTAAGAGTCATGTGCACACCCCCCCACCTTATATAAATATATCGATGATAGATGCTTTGGATAAGGAAGCTATTGAGTTGTCATGACATCCTCATTCTAAGCAGTTATTTCTAAAAAACTAAAACCAATAGCTCCTTATTAGTCCCCTGCTCTGCTGTAAGTGTCTGAGTGTTCCTCATTCCCTTACTGTTCTACAGCAAGGCAAGGATTCGAGTGTCGTTTCCATGTGATACCATTTTTAGAGTCCAGGTCGAATGCTTGTTTTGACCTCTCACAAGCTTACTCAGTCTCAGCATTACTTAATGCCGTCTTTCCAACTGTGCTTTGAGGAATCTGTTATTTATGCATGGTGTCTTGGGATGGTTTTAAGCAAGTTTTCTTTAAGAATTATTGCAAGTTTCCCTTGAAATGAAGCATGGCTTATCAGTACAGTTGGTGTTCTTCGGATATTATTTGAGTAGTATTAGCAAGTACCCATAAAATCAGGTTTATAAAACATAACTTATTTTATATACTAGGTTCAAGCTTAGAGCCCAGATGGAACCCTTTTATATATATATATATTATATATATATTATATATATAATATATATAATTTTTTTTTCTGGAAAACTTGACAACTCTTGGATAATATCAAGTATTACCAACTTTCTTTTCTTCAGAACAGATTTCTTCTAAGTGAGGTTAATTGTTCATATGAAGTCTTTTTTACTTCTTTGTTCTTTGTATGTCTCTGAAGTTTCCTTTTTTTTTGCCAGAACTATTTTTTATTCATTTCACTTTTTAATTTCAGTGCTACTTGAGAGGGTTTTTTTTTTTTTTTCTTTTTTAACCTTACAGAAGTTCTTTTGGGTGGTAGAGTTTATAAAATAGAGTATTCATGATAAAGTTTTTTTTCCTAATCTAAAAATGAATTTTTGTTAAGATTTGAAGAGCCTCATTCCATGTAGCGTGGATATTTTCTGGAGTGTTTTTAAAAGGGGTTTTGGTTGTCATTTTGGCATATGCTTTTTCAAATTGTTATAGCAGAGCTTTGCTTTTGATTAATCCGTAGTTAATCATTGATCATTTAAACTAACATGACCTTAATTTTCCTTTCCTTACACAGATATGCTTTCTATCCAGGTTATTATGTATACATGAAATAACAAACTGCGCTCTGTGTGTGTATGTGTGTGTGTGTGTATGTGTGTGTGTGTTTTCCATCAGAGACTCTAGGATAAGTTCAGGTTCGGTGTAAACATAAACTGGTCTTTTCATTTCAAAGAATTGCAGAACCAGTCAAATAAGCAGAATTCCCACTCAGTAAGTAATACCTAATTAAACATAGCAATCTCCAAGACCTATTTATGAAAATATTTTCCTTGTTTATGGAGGCATTGAAGTTGCTGAGTAAACTAACTGAATTTCCTAACTTGGAGATAATTGATATATAGTATTATGTTGCTCTAGTGTAGTTGATTTTATGTGTTTAATATTTTTCATCTCAAGAGCAAAGCTATAAACATAAAACAAAGTGTCTCTAGCACCCTGGTTAGAGAGATCCACCTTGGCTAATTGTGTGAAGAACAATTTCAAGATAAATTTTAGTATTTTGACTATTATTAAGAAAATTAGCTTTACTGAAATAGTCGTTGAAAAAGAGACACCTGTTATAGCATTGTCTTACAGTGGAGTTATTTAAAAAAGAATCCCAGAAAAAGTCTATAAAAATACAAGATTAAAACTTTAAATATACTGAAAGATACAAATTGCTGCTTTAAAATGTTATTAGGTTAGCCATCCTTTTTTTTTCCTTCTAGCTCCTCAAGGGTAGTAAATTTGTCTTTTTTGATTTACCAGACATTATTTCTTGCTAACCATCCCCTTAACATATGAAAACCCTTCACTTCTAACACCACACTGTGGCTTCCTGACTCTCAAGGTAAATGTCTTGATGGATCTGATTTGTCTCTCTCCTCTTTGCCATGTGATCCACATTTAAACTTTCTAGAAATTAGAAAGAATGGGTAATGTTCTATGATTTCTGGTTCAAAATATCACTCAGTGGTGTCCATCACAGGTAAAGATATCTGGCAAGAGTGAGTGGCATGTTCGTCTGCACAGTGCTGGTTATAATAGGCGCCTGTGTGTCCCATCTGCTGGAGGATGGGCATGTATTTGCTGAGACTTTACTGTGAAGCTGCTAAATTCACACTTGCTACTGTCATACCTGTTTAATTAGTGATTTCGAGGCCATTGTTACAAGGAGTGAGTCTGACTAATGTTTAATGTTCTTACAAAACACATTCAGAAAAGGGCATTATATTATTACTTTAAAGGAGAATATGAAATTAAACAGATTAAAAACAATTTTAATATAAAATTTAAGTTTTTGAACTGATTGAAAATACCTACTTTGGAGTGAACTTTATGGAAACAGTCACCAGAGTTTCTGAATTTTTTTTTGAAGGGAGGTACCTAACAGAAGAATCCAGACTTAGAAATGTGAACTGTGGTGAAATCCCAAACCCAGTTATACAGTGGTAGTCTAAAGCTTCTAAAACTGGAGTGTGAAGAAAACCCAGAGACGTTCATATAGTTTCAGTAATCAGAGTATTAGACCAGACTTTATTTGCAATTTGTTCAACAGAGAGATTTTATTTTGATACAAATATTAAGCATAAAGCATAGTAAGTTTTATATAATTCTATGAGTTCATTAAACAATATTATGAAATTTTCATTATGTTCTTGGGGAGTCTTAGCTGTTTCTACCTCATATATGAGGTCTCTTCTATATTTTATTTTGCATACTAGCATGTGATTGCCTGCCTTAG